ACTGGACTAAACAACTGGGATTGTCCCTGATCTTAGAGGGAGGTAGAATTTGAGGTAGAAAAACAAGGGAATGTGCAGAGGGCTGGGGTTCTTTGGTTTTTATGTTGTGGATCTCGAATATAGTAAGCCACCCAGAATCACCTGTGAGTTGGCCAGCCATGTAAATTTGTTTAATAAACAAAAAAATCCTGGTTCTGTCAAAATAATCATTCAGTCATCATAAATCAAAATTTTAGAGAGACTCACTGTGCTATCCTTGTAAAAATTACTAAAATGGCAAAAACATGTGAAATTCTTAAGATGAAATACAAGAACCTAGCCCCTCTGAAGAAATAAATTATCTGGTAGGATAATTCCCAAGGTTCTACTTCTAGTCTCTTTGGCATTTAAGATTGAAAATGAAAACTAATTTCTATTTCTGAACTGGAGAGTTCAAAGAACCTTTGTTTAAACAAAAAAGGTCACCGTTATTCCATTGATTTTCTTGGTTTATTTTGGGAATCATATGTATAATTGTTTTCTTTAGGTATATATAGGTATAGTAGTTTCCAGAATATGTAATATCCCTCTTTAGAGGAAAGCAAAAAGTTACTAGGAAAATCAAGCTGTATGAGCATTATGCCTAAGTTCTCCAAGAAAATATATGTTCAGGGAAGTGTTGTTTTCCATACTCTGCTGTTATGGTCTCTAGGATAAAACTTTTAAGTAATGTTTTCACTATCTTTGGGCTTCTCATCTATTTAGGCCACAGCCTTTTGTTTCTAAGTTTTCCTGCCTCACCATATCTATGTTGTGGCTGGAATTATTTATGGTATTAAGCCGACTGCTTTGTTTGGTTTAGGATTATACTTGCCATTGTGGTTTGTAAATGCAGTCTGTGGTTTAACATGTTTTGGGAACCGAAGTGCTGGTTAAATGTATCACATGAAGCCAAAAAAGCGCCTTATTTTGTTTGATTTAGGCATCTAGTTATGCCTTATTCATCAAACACTGATGAAAAGATTTAGTATAAAGTGTAAACCATTTTAGATTAACGGGAAAACAAAGTTTCTGGACTTTCACTAGTGCAGAAGACAAATTTTCAGCATATCTAATATGATTACAGCTGCTGAAAATGTCCTCTTCTATGTAATTATGCAGAAGCTGCCTCCTCTTCTAAATTTGGCCATCTATTAGAATGCACTTCATTTTTGTCAATATAATTAGTTCTTCTAACATCATGGTATGAATACTAATATGAGCATCATACAATGGAATTCATGGAGTATCATACAGTGGAATTCATAGTGGTGGCTTAATTTCAAGATACCAAGTATAATCAAGTTCTTTAAAAATTATCTAAAAATTAAGAGAAATAGTACTTATGTAAGACTAAAGTCTGAGTGAACTTCATGGCTAAAGTAGGATTAAAATTTATAATCTCTAACATGTACCTTTACCACTAAACTGAATTGTGTGTTTTATCCATCGTGTTTGTCCTATTCCCAACAGTATTTCATTTGCTGGGCAGATTTGCTGGGGGGGGGGGGGGATGACAGACAAAAATGTGATAATTGTAGATAAAATGGCAACCTCTTTAATTTGAAAAATTAGAGTGATTGGAAAGTCTTCTATGGTAATTCTTAAAAAGCCTTGCAAAGATCCAGAACATTGTAAATTTCATCACTAATATCAGTATCTCTCTCTTTTTAAAAAATGTTTGGGTCAATACACAAACATTTAACCATTTGAAAACTAGTCATGTATATTTGGGAAGGGGGAATTCCATTTGGGCTATATGTGTTCCTGCTGCGAAGCAATTATTCTTTCATTACCTCTTAATGCTGTCACTGTTCTGTATGGGTATCTGGGTTAACCCCTTAGCCAACTTGTCTATAGAAATATTCTAAGACTGGAGTATTGCAAATCTCTCAAAATATCCCCCAATCAGTATTGCCAGCAATGCAGTAAGTGAATCAGCAGAACAGCTACAGCACTTAAAAGCATTACCAAAGAGGCTGGTGAGTCGTTTTCTATATGATCTTGTCCAAGATCTTTTGGAATTCAGTCGTCTGGCTGAATAAGCTATTTTAGTTCTATGTTGAAGATAAAGAACCAGCCTCAAAGTGTAGCTGTATTACAATGATTTCATAGCATGGAAATCAGTGGGTAAATAATAGATTCATTCTACAGGAGAAAGCTATGTGCAATTGCCTGGAAAGGAAGTTGTATCTTTGGTTGGACTGGAGTTAGAAAATTAGTTTTTCTAAAAAGCAAAATTAATAAAAAATGTAAATAACTTCGGTCTGCAAGTCTTCTCAAATTTAAAGAGTTTTATGCTAACTGAGAACTAATACTGTTTCCTTGTTATGCAATCTCTGTGCAAAAACAAAAACCTAGAGATTTGTAAATAAGCAGCTTATTCTAAAAATGAATTCCCTTTGTGCGTAGGCCACATAAGGGTTGCTTTAGACATCCTTCAAGGGAAACCACGAAGAGGGAGACCATGAGGTAATATATCCTCCACATCCTAGTTTTAATTCAAATTTCCATAAATGATACAATTTGTATTTCAAGTTGGCATTATTTGGCATCGGAGATGAGAGATTTAATGCTCTCAGTTGCTTGCTACCTCAAACGTTGCATTTATTTCAATTTTTAAAAGATTCATAGCAATAAAGTTGCAGCTACTTTGTTTTTTGATATTGTTTTGTGGCTATAACATACTCATCTGAAAAATTAGTCTTAATGATTATTTTGGAAATCACAGTATCCTTGATAATGCTTGATAATACGAAACACATTTTATGTTTTTTTGTGTTTGTTTTTGAACTTTGCTATCATCAAATGGGTAATTGTTCAGAACTCAGAATAAAGCAGGATCAATCCTGGTTTGTGTTGGGATGGTATACTACCAGGAATTCCCAGAGTGGTGTGGTACACTGGAAAAATTTAATAAACAGAAGGAGGCAGTAGCAAATCTATGTAATAAAATTACATAGACATATTTACAAAGTGATTAATAGCTCACTTTAAATGAGTCCTTTTAAGCATCAGAAATAAGAATTGGTAGATTTCAGATTAAATTATCTCTGTTATCAGAAATTCATGCAATATTCTACAATATCAAATTATTATTATTATTTTTTTTAAAAAAGCATGGCTAGATGCCATCTAAACTTAGGAGATTGCCACCAGTGTAAGAATCTAGTTTCAGACTCTACTCAAATGCAGGGGTCTCTAACCTTGGCAACTTCAAGTATTGTGGACTTCAGCTCCCAGAATTCCTCTGGGAGTTTTGCTTGCTGAGGAATTCTGGGAATTGAAGTCAACAAGCTTCATTGGCTGAGAAATTCTGGGAGTTGAAGTCCAAAAGTCTTAAAGTTGCCAAGGTTGAAGACTGTTGCTCTAATGGTAAAGTGTATCTTAGGTTCCAGTTTTAATGCTGGATTCTGTATCAATCAGTGTTGACAATATGAGTTAGGTGAAACAATATTTGATTAGGTTCAAACACTGCACTGAATCATGGATTATAAAATAAGCCAGAAGCAAATGTAACTCTCGCTGGGCTGAGAAACATGCTTAACATACTCAGACCAGGGTAAAATTAAATACTATCCTTTCCAATGACACTTACATTTAATTCAAGTTAAATATGGTTATATAATTACTCTTCAATAACTGTATGTGTTTAATATCTTGCACTTTGACATATTAACATCTACAATTGTTGATAGTTTTTAGAGGTTCTGAAGGCCACATTTAAGGCTTCAAAGGGCATATGTGGCTCTCCATCCTTAGTTTTTGCACCTCAGCACCATCTCTAAATCATTCTGTACATCACAACACAATATATGATGCAAACTAGTATATGGCAACTTTCTTTATTCAAATTCAACTTTTGTTTGTCCCCTTGATGAATTGATAGTCCCCCTATCTGTCTTCTTAGAACTGACCCTCGACTTTGATATAGTTCTAGAAGAACAAGCTCCTCTTTCAGTCTTCTTAGTCCTGTAAATAAAACTAAGTTCCAGGGCATTCAATAACATAAGAACAAATACATAGCAGGATGCCAGAAGTCAGGATGTTGTATTAGGGATGTGGAATTATATTAATAATAAATAGCATCTGCCTACAGTAGTTGATAAACAAAGACCAATAGGAAAGCATCTTATTGTAGCCCAATCCAATAGATCTGTGTCCTAGAATGGGAGGGCATAGAAGAAGAAAAATACAAAGAATATTAGCTGGTTGAATCTGCACTTAAATTTCTGCTTGAAAGTTTAAGGTAAACATGTACAATAGGAGGCATTCAGGACTCCATGCAACCTCCTTAAAGTCTTGGTTTACTCTTATGCTATTCAATTAAACTTAAATCCATCAGGTTTTATCCTGGCATTATACTTTGCACCTTGTTCCTTCCCACTTTTAGGATTGCAAACCCTGATATACTCATTAAAGTCTCTGAGCCATGTAGGTCCTGAAAAAAATTCTACTCAACTGTCTTCTAGGTTGTGCTAGTTCACAATACTTGAGCCATCCCTACCTGGCAAAGGCAAAAGAACTGTATTTTCATGCATGTTTTTGCTTCTGAAATGCTACGCTAAGAGAAAGGAGAATGAGAACTTCCCCCTTTTCACTTGGACTCCCTATTCTCATTGGGACTTTTGTGTTGTTTCACAAGCAGAAATGGTACAAAAAGAGACCGCATCTTTGGAAACAACAGAACACAGGCCTGTCGTACAAGGGCCTGGGGCTTGCACTATGCAGAACATGGAGCCTGTCCCTGGCTGGCACTCTGAGCTGTTTTCAGCAGCTTTGGGGGAGAAGCATAGAGTGGGCAGTGTCTGGAACTAAAGCTTCTGCATTATTCACGAGGGGAATCCACAGAGAGGGGAGGGAGGAGGACTAAACAAGAAGAGAGTGGAGCAGTGTGGCGGCGTGTGCCCTCCCATTTGCTGTGGCTTGGTGGACTTGAGATAATGAGCCTCTATGTAAGCCACAGAGGAGGAGGGCTGGCCCTGGAAGGGTAGTTTTTCTGCAGCAGTTAGATGGTATCTATCTTTTGACCCTGGAAAAAGGTCTGCTTAGTTTTCTCAGCTGTGGAAGGCCAGAGGTCTGCTTCCTTGGAAACTGAGAGACAGTTTTGTGCACCCAACTGAGCAATTTGGATGTTTCCTGGATTTTTGCAGCCATGACCAAAACATCCCAGGCCTTGCATGAAGGACCTTCTCATTTCAGATAAAGGTGACTGAGAGATGATTGAACACCAGTCCTGGAAGGGGCGGGAGGGAGAAGGGAAAATTGTTTAAGTGTGAAGGGTGATAAAGGTAGGTCTGCTTGCTTATTTAATACTGACAGAGGGATGGAATGGGCTGGAATAGTTATTATAAGCTGCTAAAGTAAAGTCATGCAAGTGTATAACTAACTGTGTAGTCAAAACTCTCTATGCCATAAATCCTTTGTAAAATGATGGTGCAATATAGAGTCAAGCCCTCTGTTTCTGCCTAAGAAAACAACAGCTCTTGGCTCTGCTTTTGTAACAACAGATTTAGCAATGCAAAGGACTGGCAGATCTTTTTTGTATCATATCCCCATTTTACTTCCTGACTTCATTTGCAGTACATTGCATTCTACTTTGGCACTTCAAGCAGCACCAATCTATCTCCCTCAAGTCCTTGTCCTTATCCCCCGCCCCCATTGATTGAACGTCTCACAGTCCGTGGAGGTTTCATATCCATCTATTTTAATTCCAAGCAATTTAAAGAGATGGGGATGAAAGACATTGGGTTTTTCTTGTCAGCTTATGGAAAACAACCAATTTCCAAATGAACATGTTTTTGGGATGTTTTGATTCTCAACTTATATCTTAAAAGGTACCCAGGCTTAATACATGATACTGACTGAAGAGATTTGAACTTTGGAATAGAAATGTTGGAAGCTCTTTCCTCCATTTGTAGTAGAAAGGTTGAGATGATTAATAGTGTTTGTTTGTTTTTAAAAAATCTCGAGTAATGGGTTTTGCTTGTTAAAAAAAAACCCTTTGGGTTCCACATACTGTATCCTTCTTAAAATTCGATATATAATCTATACTTTTGCTTGTGAAAACTTAAAGTAGCCTTTCTTCTCTAGCGTCTTTATACTCTGCTCATTTGTATTTGCTAATTTTTAGAAATTGTTTACTTTTGATTGTATTTGTTTTCCCCTACTGTTATTAGCTGCTGTGAAATTTTTAAAAGAAAACTGGGTCAGCTCAAATGAACCAGTATTTCTAAATGTGGAGACATTTATTTCAAGAAAGAAGCTTCTAGGGTAGAACATTTTTTCCATTTTTATAAAGGAATTGGTTTATAAAATGATTAGTAATGTAATGAATGGAAGGAGTCAATTTTAAAGTATTTTATTCAGGGCATTGTCATTAAGGAACAAACTTACATGACTTACCGTAGTCTTTAAATTTAAAGACAAAGTGGCTTACTTTGACTACTTTATTTAAAAACAAATTAAATTTGTATTAGTGAAGTAACATATTTATTGCTTGAAAATGTTACATTTGATCCTTATTTGTTTTAATAATCAATTCTTTTAAGTCAAGTTCTTTTACTGTTATATAAATAAAAAGGTGAGATTTATATAGAACACAAAGAGAAGAAATCAAAGAATTTTCTATAAATAGTTGCATCAAAATTGTCTGATTCAAAATATTTTTTAATCAACCTCATTCTGTGGGATCAAGTAAATTTTAAGATATAAAGTAGTTGGGATGTCATGCTTCTCTTTATGTTCACATAAGTCAAATTACACGTGTTCAGTACTGTACTGTTTCTATAAAGTTAGGTATAGCTTGGATCTGCTGTAGTGGTAATGTAGGAATTTAAACAATAAATCACAATAGGAGTACCCTCTTTATTGCCATGTTTATATAAACTTACTTCAAATAGAACATAATGCAGTGAGGTATCTCACAATTGTTTACCCAAGCTTCTTTAAATTAATCTCCAGGTTAACCACTATATTGCTCTTTTAGCATTTGATGGCATTAATGATCATATCTATACTATAATATATTAAAAATGCTTGTATTAGAATACTGCATAGATTTGTTTGGTTGTTGAATTGTAATATCTCCTATAAATATACACAGATAATTAAAAGCCAAATATTGTCATTTTATTTAAAGAGATGAGAACTTGAATATATGAAATTGTCAAATTATATCAATATAAGTTTCAGATATTTTATTTTAAAATTAGAAGAAACTGAGTCCAAGTCTTCACCTGCGAACTAAAAAGCTCTGAAAATTCACTGTTTAGTAGTTATGACTGACATTTTAATTTCACTAGAGAAGAATAAAAGATAAAGGAAGAGGATAAGGTAAATGGCAACAGCTGATGTGATTTTATTTTAAGGACTGTACTATATCTAGAGTCAGAGAAAACGTACTTTAAATTTCCCAGTTACCTGAGTGAGAACAAATTAGTTTTCATGGTGGGAGATCATAAATAATTCAGTCCCATCAGGATTATACCATTTCAGAAAAAGAAGGGAGGGAAACTATTTTCATGTCTTCTCCCATCAAAGCTCTGCGAGAAAAAAATCTAGGACATCAGATGATACATTAAATAATAATTCCTGCTTAGTTTTTCCACTAAGGAAAAGGAAAATAGGAATTTCGACATGAAAATTCAACAGCTTCATCTCTAAATTGCTTTATGGAATGGTAAAATCCCACTAAATTAACTTTCAGATATATTTGCTGCAGAAACCACAAACTTTATTAAATTGCATGTATTAAAACATATTTCTGGGTACCAGTAGTTTTGATTAAAACATATTTTTGGACAGCAGTCATTTTGGAGTACTTATTTTATATGATTACAGTGGAAAAGAAGAAGCATGAACTCCTAAAAGGAGGGATAAGTGAAAACATGCTTGTTTCCTTGCCAGTTTCACAAATGAACCATTCATGCGTAAATGGAGCAAGAAAGGAAATGGGATTTTCGGAAGGTGTTAATAAGATGTGCTGATTGTACCACTGGGATCAGATGTGGTGTGTGTGCATTTCATACATTAATAGAAAAAAAAAGCCTTGGTTGTTAATTACAATTCCAGCAATTGTCTATTAGACACTGCAGAGTGCAGAGAAAAGATCAGATGCTAGTCTTAGTGCTAAGGGATCTGTAACCACTGGAGGGGACTTCCAGTGTCTCCTTAGAACACTTTTGTAATTTGAGTTAGAAGGAATATTTCTTTCAATTTCTTTATCTATGAAATGTTCTTGCCTGGATTAGTGCAACATGGTCTGCATAGGGCTGTCCTTGAAAAAACATTTGTAAGTTTCAACTAGTGCAAACTGTAGCTGCACTGTTCGTAAATGGTGCCAGATGTTCAACACATGTAACAGCATTATTGCATGAATTGCTTTGGTAGCCTGTGTGTTTCTAAATGCAGTTCAAGATGTTGGTTGCCGTCCTTCAGGGCCTGGGATTGGGTTACCTGTGAGACCATCTTCTCCCAGTGGTTTCTACTACCCATCCAATTTGGTCTGGATGGTTGGGCATGCTGCAGATCCTGTCATCCAAGGAATGTCAGCTGGTGGAAACTAGAAGACATGCTTTCTCTGCCATAGTCCCTGCCCTCTGGAACATTCCCTCATCATAAGTGAGGAGGACTCAACTATGTTGGCCTTTCATAAAGGCTTTGAAGATCTGGCTTTGTACCCCAGTTCAGGGCCCCAAGTCTGGAAAGAGCCCCATTTCCTGGCTATATTGACATCTATGATGACATTTTTCTCAACTGCCATATATATTTAATTTTGTACTATATTGCAACTGTTTTTAATCCTGTTATGATTGTTTGCCACACAGAGTCACTTCTTTGAGATGGGCTACTATAAAAATTGAATGAATTAATGTATTGTTATTATAGAAACATGGGCTTAATTAATAACATGACAACTTCTCAGTAAGGAAAAACAATGTCTAATGAGAAATGTTAGTAGATGACAAATTGCATGTTCTGCATATTAGTTTCTTGCCTTCAGGCTTATAATATAATTCACTACCCTTAATAAATATATGAATGAGATCAAGTTCCATCTCAGTTTATACAGCCAGTCAGGTACCATTGTATATGCATAAGCAAAGCAACTGTTCTTAATTTGGTCCCACCACATTTGTTATCACATAATCTAGGAAGCCATAATAATGCATGTTGCAGATAGGAAATACAGTAGAGGAAGGAGGCAAGCAATGCAAGTTGGAATGTTGAAAACAATGTTGAAAAATTGTGGCACAAGATCTGTCCCATTTGTGTGTCATGATGTGGAATACAGGTATGAACAGGTGGATTTGCACTGCAGCAATGCTGGTGATATTTTTTGTCATTTTGTTAAAAGCAGCAAGATCATTATTAATATCCTTATTAATGAAGCTGAGCAGATAAGATGAGAGAATCTATCTCTAGAAAGGATATTCATTTTTCTTCTAGGCATGTGACTGGTTGATTGATCCTCTGTTGAAGTATACTCCATAGCAGTAACCGCTTATTTTTCTTAAAGCTATTTCATTTGTACAGCGAAGTGTCATGTTGTCTTAAGAATTCAGTGCTAGATATCTAACTCATAATGGTGGAATTTTTTTTGACATCTTCTCCCAACCTGAAATACACATTTATGAATTTATGTGCATACATTTATTTATTAAATTTAAACAGGAAACGTTTATTTGTTTCATTAAGTTACCACATGCCTTGGATCTATGAGTTGCCAAAGATCCCTCAGAATGCATTCTTGAATTTATTATGGAGCATATTTTTCCTCCCAGGAGCAAGGAAATGGATGCCGTCCAAATATTTGAACTATTACTGCTATCAACACCTGCCAGCTTGGCCATTGGCATGGGACTTACAGCAGCTTTGCTCTCTCCTAAAATATTTGAGCCTAGATACCTTTAAAATTGTGAGTTTCATTAATTGTGAAAGTAACATGCTATCTTTTTAGAACTGTGAAGTGCAGATATAGCTCCTGTCTTCATTTATTTTTCCTATTCTTGTCCCCCCAGGGAATCCAGTATTTACTTTTTCTTTGTAAATAAAAATCCCAAACTCTAATCTCCATGAAAATAGATGCATTAAGCTTGATTGAAGCTTGTGATAAATAAGATCTACCGGAAAGTGTGCATTGGGTTTAGAGACTTAGTTTGACTGTCTTTTGGTCTGAATCTGAAATGCTAATGATATAGCATTTC